GATCTCCTCACTCTTAGACCTGAGGTTTTCCTATGCTTTTTGCTTACCAAGAGTGAAAGGTCAGGAGCGTAAGCCACAACCTAAGGTCCAGAATTGCTGTCGGATGCAAAAAGTGGTACAGCAGTTAGAGTGCAGTACTGCAGGCCACTTTAGCTGGCTGTGTTCAGCAGGTCAGCGGTTCAAATCTCACCGGCTCAAGGTTGACTCAGCCTTCCATCCTTCCGGGGTAGGTAAAATGAGGACCCAGTTTGTTGGGGGGCAATGTAAATATATATATATATTGCTTACTGGTGTACACCGCTTAGAGAGTGCTCGCACTTAAAGCGGTATATAAGTCTCATAAATAAATAAATAAATAAAAGTAGGGGATTCAAGTCCAGATGTGCAGACCACATAGTATTAACCATGCCAAGGAAAGGGCACCTCTAGCTGTCCCTGAGTGGATTCAAACCACCCTCAGCCCATCTTTCTACTCGACAGCCGGACCTCTTTGACCACTTGTGCTCAAGAGACGTTAGATATGGCTCCCCCTCAGCATCCTTGAAGGGCTGATGCCCATCTCTCTCCCCTAAGTGGACGACAGGCAGCTTTGCACGCTCCAAATCTCCAGCAATTCCAGCTGTTGTCATCTGCCTCATCTAAAGGTTCAAGCCAGGGCTGGCTGGCTGGAGGCTGTTGAGACTGAGGGTGAAGGTTCGTTCTCTGAGCCAGTGAGATGGTTTCCAAATGTTTCTTTACCGGGCTAAATAACATCTTCAGCGGAGTTTACGGGATATCCGTCTCTGTGTTCTTCTCTTTATAAGGTCTTTGGGTGGCCGGTAGCTACAGGTATTCACCACTACTGCAAACTGTACTCCAACACTGGAGATTTTAAAGAAGAGATTGGACAACCATTCGTCTGAAAAGGCATAGGTGTCAGGGTTCCGACTAATGAAGCACGTCAAAGAACTTTCAGGCATATTTCCTAAAGTCTTTATTACAGAGCTACAAATTGCCGGTCACCATCATGGATGTTTTGATGCCAGAATCTGACTTCCTCTTGCTGGCATCAATCTTTTCTTGCTAAACCCCTCCTTTATCTTGCAGTCACAAGTCACATTATCCAATTAGTGTGAAGGTCAAAAGTTTACTTCCTCTTTCTTTCCTGGGCTTTTTACCCCCCCCCACTCTAAGCTATGTATTAACCCAGTAAATACCAGACAGTTTTGCATATTGTCAAAGCAAGAATATACAGTATTTGCAGCATTGACAATAGGGCTTCCTGCTTGAGCAGGGGGGGTTGGACTAGAAGACCTCCAAGGTCCCTTCCCCCCCTACAGGGGTGAAGAGTAGGAGAGGGAAGGGAAGGTAGGATTATTCTCTGGTCAATTCAGCTATTTTGCCATGAACACAATGCTTCCTGAGAATTCTACCTGCAGGATGATTGATGGTTTGGAAGTAAATGTTTTCCCTGGCTGGGAATTGAACATGGGCTCTAGTGGTGAGAACGCTGAAGTCCTGACCATTACACCACTAGGGAAGTACAATGTGGCTTTCGTTGCTCCGGCTTCTCCTTTGAAATGTCAAATGGAGGCAAGGGTTTTTCTTACCTAGCCAGGGTAAGCTTGATGCAGGCTTTCAAGCAGAAAGGGGAATTGGGAGAGTTCCCAACAACACTATCAGACTGTTGCTGAGGTCACCAGGCAACTTGTCTTCCCAGTTGGCAGTTCACTCTTGGTTATCTCCTGCACTGGATGGAGACTCAAGAGGATGAAACACGTATATACTCTATTTCCAGCATCCCAAAGATAACTGGACACCAGTCCAAAGCTGATGCTCAAAGCCTTCATCAAGGAGGAAGAGGGCAGAAAAAGGTGTGTGTGTGTGTGTGTGTGTGTGTGTGTGTGTGTGTGAGAGAGAGAGAGAGAGAGAGAGAGAGAGAGAGAGAGAGAGAGAGAGAGAGAGAGAGAGACCCCACAGCATCACTCAAATCTGTAGTTTGCAAACCCTCAGATCTGCTTTTCCAGGTCAGATTAGATCAGTGGTTCTCAATCTTTTTAATGCTGCGACCCCCAACCGGTCGTAAGTCGAGGACTACTCAACTGGTGCAGCACCGTTTGCAGAATGGGACTTTTGGCGGGCTCAGCAGGGCAGAGACAGCCTGGACAATTCCTATTGGCTTTTGAAAGCCAATAGAATTAGATTCTATTCAAGAGAGTCTATTCTATTGGCTTTCAAAAGCCAATAGAATAAAAGGGAGTAGCACAGCTGAGGAAAAGGGGGAAAAAATGGTGGACTGCGTTGTTTGGCGACCCCCGTGAAATGGTCATTTGACCCCAAATGGGGTCCCGACCCACAGGTTGAGAACCACTGGATTAGATGTTGGCTCAAAGTGATGGTCCAATGTTGATGAAGGGTTTGGCTTCTCAATGTTCCTTTCCTGGATAGCCAGTCTTGAAAGATGTTCTATTGGAATTTACAGTTGAGTTCAGGAAAAGAAAGAAGAAAGGAAACCCCTAAATGTACAGATATAATTATAAATTGCCACTTTTCTCTAGTGCTACAGAATATGAAGCCATAAAACTCCTAGAGCCTCTTTCTTGCTAGTTTTTGGCTTGGGATGACTAATTTTTGGTCAATGGTTTAAAAGCATTCTCTACTTTGTCATTCCATCTTGGATGAGGAAGAAAAAGCGGGATGCTTCTTGCTTTTTCTGGGGGGGGGGGGAAGTATATCCTCTATATTCCTAGAAATTTTCTCAGGGGAAAAGACGTGTTTCTGCCTGGTGCCGAACCAGGGAACTTTTGTGTATTAGGCAAATGTGACAACCACCACACCACAGAAACCACAAGCCTGGCTGACTCTCAACCAGCATGACCGTATCTTTTTCTGGCCAAGACAGCCTGGTGCATGTTGTATCAGATGGGTTAAAGAACTCTGCTTCTTCAGTGTGAAGGATAAAGGAGCAGAATTTTAAGCCATTCCCAGGCTGTAGGTTGAATATTGGGTTTCAGGAGAATTTTTTTCTCACTATTAGATGGGAAAAGAGAAACCTCGAACATAAATTTTACATCTCTTGAGAAAGAATCTTAACATCTGTGCCAGTTGTATAGGGCAGAGGTAGGCAACCTTGGCTCTTTTATGACTTGTGGACTTCAACTCCCAGAATTCCTGAGTCAGCATGGCTTGCTCAGGAATTCTGGGAATTGAAGTCCACAAAAGAGCCAAGGTTGCCTCCCCTGGTATAGGGACATCATACATGTCTCCAATCCTGTGACTGGGTTTGAATTCTGGCTGGCGCATGCCTTTTTTTCAACTTTTACCTTTCTGGAATGTGCAAGTAGCGTCACCAGACCGAATTTTCATCCCAGATTTTATTTTTAGTGGGGGAAAAGGAACCACACTACAAAAACCAAAGAGAAGCTTAGAAGTATGAATCTCCGTATTGATGGAGACTGATGCCAAGCCCTGTGCTAAGTCTCTGGGGCGCAAGGGGCTAGCGCATCTGGCTGTTAACCAGAAGGATGGTGGTTCGAGCCCACCCAGGGATGGCCTGCTTGATGGCATAATCCCGAGATGAAGATGATGGACTGTTATTGCATTGGGTTCTTCATCTAAGGGCTTCGATTTCCATACTGTCAAGGATTTTTCTCACTAGGATTTAAATACCTGAATTAGTTTTACCCTCTGGAATGTAAAATGGGGATGAACAGCCATGACCTTTCTTGAGGATTTTATTGGCCACAGACCAGCACTGGAATTGTGTTTTTCTTAGAGACGATTAATCTGATCAGGAGCAGCCCGCATTGGAAGCTATCCAGGGTTCTGAATCCTATCTTCTGGCACATGCAATTTTTGATTGCAGTGCTTTTATTATGTAATCCATTGCTATTTTTCTTGAGGCTCCATGCTAGACCTCGGTACTAATGACACTAATATTCTCCCATAGTGTCCTCTAGTTGTCCTGTAAAGAGTGGTTTAATTGCTTTTAAAGATGAATTTGGATTTGGAAAAAAAAAAATAATCAGGATGCTGCCAGGGGGCAAATCTTCCACTTTGCATTATGGCCAGATGCCTTAACTGTCCACAGAGTCTTTTCCTTCTGCAGCTCTTTCTCTGAGCATCACCTGCCGGTCTTCTTTGAAGCAAGCGCTTTGCTGCATTTTGTCCCGACACATGGAGCTGTACATCCTACTGGGAATTCACTGGGTAAATTAATTTCCCATCAACTTCTCAAGTGGGTGTCCCAGGAAGTGGATGTGTTTGTGAAAGCTGATGCCACAGTGTCAGTCATCTTCTGGACATCCCACTGACTGACTGACTGATTTATTTATAAAAATTATTGGCTGCCCATCTTATCACAGGGTAACTCCGGGAGGCTTACAATCATAAAAATAATTATATATACATATTGGGAAGGTGGGATAGAGATGGGATCAATCAGTTACCTCCACTGTGATGCTCCCCCATTGGGGCTTCAAGCTAACTGGCAGAGCCAAATCATTAGACCTTTATGAAAGATCAAGAGGGTTGGGACTGATGTCAAATGGGGGGGGGGAGATGTGTCAGAGGGCAGGAAGAACAGCAGAGAAGGTCTTCTCCTGGACCTCACCAACCAGAATAATCAGGCCAATGGGTCCTGCATCATGCCTCTCCTGGCAGCTTGTGTGGGCTGGGTTTTGACTTCCCCTCAAAACCACAAATGTAATCAATCATCAAAAAATGATTGCTACCTGGGATCCACTGTACCAGGGATAGGCAACCTTGGCTCTTCAGCTTGGAAACCTCTCCCTTTCCCCTCGGCATGGCTGGCTCAGGAATTCTGGGACTTGAAGTCCACGAGTCATAAACGAGCCAAAGTTGCCTACTCCTGCGTTAGAGAGATCCAATCCCACGCCCATCATCCCTGGCCCGCATGGAACATGTTCTGGCCGTTGGCGCCCTGTCATAGCGCACAGACTCCACCAGGGGTCTCCCTCGGCGGCGGTTGGAAGGGATGGGCAGTCCCCTTCCGGAGGGAACTGAGCATGCGCCTGGCTCTTCCGCGAGTTTAAGGGAGATTTGTAGTCCCGGGGCACTTTGCAGAAAAAGGCTGGGAGCGCGTCTGCTTTTTCTGCCGTGTCCGATTCTGCTCCCCTTCGCTGCGACCCTTAGGCTGAGCCCCTGGGCCAAGAGGCTGTAAGGAATTCTTGCACGGGTGGAGATCCAGACGTGACTCAGAGTGAGTGTGTGTGGGGGGGGGAAGGGCTTTTCTCTGGCGCTGGAGACGTGCGTGGAGTATGCAAAGCTTCATCAAGTTCCAAGTCGTGGGAAGGGGGCAGCCCGAGGTCCTCTATTCCCCCTGTCAACCCCGTGGAAGGAAGGGACATGCAGGGAAGAAATCAAAGCTCCGCACCGGCCGGTTTTCTCCAGGAAAGAAAATCAGGGTCGCCAGAAAGAGGAGGGTGGGGGAGGCATTCACCCTCCATTTCCTCCAGCAAAACTCTGCATGCGGGCAGAGGGAGAGGTTGACTTTCCAAAACACGCAGAATGTCTCGATTCCTAGACAATTCCCTGCGAATTTTTTGGCCCCGTTTTCAGAAGGGGTTTCCCTCGCCGCCTCTTTCCTAGGCCGAGAGAAGCGAGCGGCCAAAGTTCCTCTTGTAATGTTGGTTTGTAGGCAAGGCTGCAGTTCCGCGTGTAAGGAGTTGAGTGCAAGGTGTGTAAGGACTGGAACCCAAACAACGGGCGGTGCATTGGATGGTGGTTTGTTAATTCTGGCTTCTGGAGCTCACCCAGGGGTTTGGGCCATGAGGTTAATGGGGTTCTGCTGCCTTATGTTTTACTAGAAAGTCAAATGTTGATTAATCTCCTTGCTAAATCGATTTAGATAGGCACTCACATGAATTTTCTTGTGACTGGAGACATTTATAATTTGGATTGTGCAAAGGGTAGTTCTTTCTAGGCAGCAATAGAAATGATTGGATATAAAAATAATCTTTTTCCAGAAACAGAAACCCAAAACATATTTTAAATGTATTTATCCGATGTTTTGATTCCTTGGTAGAAGTTGAGCCAGAAGAGAAGAGTGCTACAGAACTTTCCCCAAACATAAATGAGTCTGTCTAATAAGATTCCCACCCACCCGTCTTCACAGACATTGGTGGGTTCATTTCTTTTGTTGATTTGTTTATTTATGGAGGAGGATGCTCAGTATTCAAATTTGTCACCCTGTTGAACACCCTGTGTTTTGCTTTTCAGATACGTAAGCTGGTTCCTCTGGAGACCGAGGTATCTTGTGAAGGAAGAGGGCTGAATGGCATTAGGAGATTTGGAGAGACCTCTTGTGATTAGGAAGATCTGGGGAGATCAGTCCATTTTGGTGCTGGATTAGATGGAGGGACAAAGCCCAGCAGATTCAGGAGTTGGAAAAGGCCCTGCAGCTGCTCAGCCTTGGAGCTGTGGGAAGAATGGGGCAAATCCTGGGCAGAAGAGCCAAGAAGAGGAAACCAACAGTTCAGAGGTCCAATGCTATCACTTCAGAAAAGTGCAGTTCCAGGAGGGGAAGGGTCCCCGAGATGTTTGCAGTCAGCTTCACCACCTTTGTCATCAGTGGCTGCAGCCAGAAAGACACACAAAGGCCCAGATGCTGGACCTGGTGCTCCTGGAGCAGTTCCTGGCTGTCCTTCCCCCAGAGATGGAGAAATGGGTGCAGGAGTGTGGAGCGGAGACCAGTTCCCAGGCAGTGGCCCTGGCCGAAGGCTTCCTGCTGACCCAGGAGTCTGAGAAGATGCAAAGAGAATTGCAGGTGTGAGAACGTAATCATGGCAGCTCTAAAGAGAATCTTTCTGAATTTGCCAATGTCTCTCTGGCAGAATTGTCTGGGATTATGAACTTCTAAGGCCTGTTGTTCTATTCTTCTTCCAGAGGATGCATTTGGGGCAATTCTTCCATTTTCACTTTTCAGCTTAATCGATGGACATTGGGGTCTGCTAGGTTGCGTGTTCAATACTGATAATTCATTTCTGTCTCTGTGCTCTTCCCTTCTTTCTTGTGCCATGTCTTGTGCAGAAGTCCTTGCAAGCTATTGCTGAGTATCCCGAGGGGCGGGAAGATTCATCCAAATCCTCCCAGGAGCCGTTTTTCAGGGAGAGCTTCCAGAAAGGTCGAAGTCAGGACACCACACTAGGTAGCAGAAGCTCTTTTCATGCGATGTGAGGTTTGGGCATCCAGCTGATTGTTTTGTTCATCTTGAGTGAAATCTCTCTGCTTCCACTGTTTTCTATCCCACAGGTAATAGAAAGCTGCCTTTCGTATTTTCAGAACCATCTTCTCTTTGTGGTAGAGCTGAAAGAGTGGCTGAACCTCTGCCTCAGGTAGGAGGAGAAATATCGGAAAGGTCCACGAATCTTGGATGGGTTTCATTTTATTGTGTATAATATTCAATGTATAATATTGCTGTTTCTAATGTATAATGTTGCTCTTTCCAAGCGAGACAAATTTTAGGTCATATCATTGAAAATTCACACTCGGCTCAAGTTACCTGTCCCTTCTGATCAATTTTCTCTGCTCTCCTGCTTCAGGCTTAGATTTCATTGACCAGATGTTGTCTTGACCACAGATCCTCTTTTCTCTCTCCCAGGGTCATTCTCACATGCCATTACGAGCTCTCCCAACGCTTCCACGAAGGTGTGGAGTGGAGTTCCCTCAGTTGATAAAGCAGTCCATAGGCCAGTGATGGCGAGCCTTTTAGAGACCGAGTGGCCAAAAACTGCCCCCCCACTCCCGTCCCTGCTCCCCCCTGCCACTGGGCCACGCACCACCTCCACAGCACGCCACAGCAGCGCCATGGTGGCCACGCCTTCCACCCATGCCCTGCAGCATCATCTGCGCGCGACGGGGCGTAAGGGCAGAGTCTTGTCCCTGCTTCCCGGCTACCATGTCCTTGGCTGCGCTGCTTTGTGTGGGCTGCACCCAGGGGTGACTCTCCTCTGGGGGGGGGGCTGCTGGTGAGGAGGGGGCTGTGGGAGGAGGCAGGGCTGGGGAGACAGTGCGTGTGCCCACAGAGAGGGCTCTGAGTGCTGCCTCTGGCACCCGTGCTATAGGTTCGCCACCACTGCCATAGGCAAAACATCAGATGGATTTCCCCTGTATTTCCTTCTGCTCACTCTAGGACAGCGGTTCTCGACCTATGGGTTGTGACCCCATTTAGGGTCGATCGACCATTTCACGGGGGTCGCCAAGCAAGGGTGTCTGCCATTTTTCCCCCCTTTTCAGTGGGTGCCTTACCTCCCTTGGGCTGGGCCAGCTGGTGGCCCAGCCGGTGGTCGGCCTGCTCCGTCTCTGCCGCTTGCCAGCTACGCCTCGGCCGGCGCAGGGGGCGACACCATGCATGCGCGGCGCTCCCGGGCAGGGGAAGTCCTCGACGTACGACCGGTTGGGTAGTTCTCGTCTTACGACCGGTTTAGTCCTTGACTTATGACCGGTTTAGTCCTCGACGTACGACCGGTCGGGGGTCGCGGCATTAAAAAGGTTGAGAACCACTGCTCTAGGAAGAATTGGAGCCAGTGATAAGTAGTGAGTTTAATACCCAACTACTATTTGACAAAAAAAAAAAAACTTTTAGTTGGGTACACTGAAAGGCATTCCAAATACTTCCAACTTGATCCAATGTGCTTCAGCCAAAAGCTGTGAGATCTCATTCTGAATTCTGCAGAAGATGCCCGTTTTGTTCATAGGATCTCTCTGCTTAATTGGTGGAAGAAAACTGACAGATTATTCTTGAGATTATCTGTTCATTGGGAAACTTGTTTCCTTGTCCAGGATGTTGTGTCTTTGGAGGAAGTGGCCGTGTATTTCTCTGAAGAGGAGTGGTCTCAGCTGGATCCTGACCAAAAAGCACTCCACGGGGAAGTCATGCTGGAGAATTCCAGGAATTTGGCTTCTATGGGTAAGAACCCTCATCTGTGCTCAGAAATGTAGAGAAGGAATGGGTGGGGGGCTTAGGTGTTATTTCTGATAAGAAAATACCACTTTTTATTTATATCCTGCCTTTGTTATTTTTTTGCTCAAGGCAGTAGACACACCCAGTACTCCTCCTCCTTCCTATTTTTCCCCTAACAACAATGCTGTGGCATGGGTTGGGTTGAGAGAGACTGGCCCAAAATCACCCAGCCAGCATTCGCACTTAAGGCAGAACTAGAACTTGGAGTCTCCCAGTTTCTAGTCTGATGCCTTCACCATTGGACCAAACTGACTGAGATGTGCCCACTTGTGTTCTGAGTTCGGCATCATTCCAAGTTGAGGGTCGGCAGCTATTGCCATCCAGAAATGTCATTGACTTTCAAAGATTCTGTCTGACAGACAAGTGGAAATGAGGTTTTTCATTGAACTGATGGGTATGTTGCTGTCCCAACATTATACAGCAGTGGTTCTCAACCTTTCTAATGCCGCGACCCCATAATACAGTTCCCCATGTTGTGGTGACCCCCAACCACTTATACATCACCGGGTGCCAGGGGCGTGGCCAAAGAAAAGGGGGAAAAATGGCGGACAGCCTTGTTTGGCGACCCCCGTGAAATGGTTGTTCGACTCCAAATGGGGTCCAGACCCACAGGTTGAGAACCACTGGACTAGAAGACTGAGACCTAGAAATAACTGAAAGATATGGAGGAGATTGGAATTTTTATCAATAAATATAAATGGACTGAACTCTCCTTCAAAAAGGAGATTTTTTTTTTACCACAAAAATTAAAAATAGACATAATTTGCCTCCAAGAGACATATATTAAGAGACATTTTAAAATTTTAGAACAACCAAAAATGGGCAAACTTTATTTTACACTCACCTCTCAAAAGAAAAGAGGAACAGCCCTTTATATTAAAGAAAAGATGAATCCCAAACAAATTTATGCAGATGAAGAAGGGTGAATACTAATGGTAGAAATCATGGTGGATCAAAAACAGATATTGATGGTAGCAATATACGGACCTAATGATAAGCCTAAGACTGAAAATCAGGCTTGTCAGATGCTATATTTTTTCTATCCTGCTCTATGGAGTAGACTCCAGCCTCCAATAGCACTGTGGGAGTTTGTGGCCCCAATGGAATTGTCCCAGGTCATCAACAGGCTGACACAGACAGTTGGTTAAAGTTTAGGAAACAGATTTTGCTTAGTTTCATTCTGAGGTTATCCAGTTTTGATATATGAGAATTGGTGGGATCCCACTTAGAAATACGTCTTGGGTAACAGCATAGTTTAGAATCTTCATGTTTGCCAGCAAAACTGCCTAAATGTATTTTGCTAAATTTCAAAAGAAAAGATTTGGTCCTTCTCCTAGTCTTGCTACAGTTTTCGTTTTTCTTTTTCAAGGCTTCGATGGACAAGAGAATGAGAATTGCAAGGACGAATGCCAAGAGATCCATTCAAAAGAGGGAAAAGGGAAGTTTCCAGATCAATTGCAACCAAAGAGTAATGAAACAAAACAATCACAAAGAGGAATTAAAAAAGGCTTCCCTCAGGTCACCTTGCTTTCTAACCATACAAGAATCGATACGGAAGAAGAAGCTTATAAATGTGTGGAGCGTGGAAAGAGCTTTAATAAATCTGATAATCTTATTTCCCATAAAAAGACACATTCAGAAAAGAAACGATATGCTTGCAGGGAATGTGGAAAGACCTTCCGTGATAATCACTCTCTTAGAACTCATGAGAGGAATCACACAGGAGAACGGCCTTACAAATGCATGGAGTGTGGAAAGACCTTTAGTTATGGCAGTAATCTTACTTCCCACAAGAGGATCCACACAGGAGAGAAGCCATATCAGTGCATGGAGTGTGGAAAGACCTTTACTCGTAATAGTCGTCTTAATTCCCACAAGATGATCCACACAGGAGAGAAGCCGTACAAATGTGTGGAATGTGGAGAGAGCTTTAGGTGGAATTCTAATCTTGCCTCCCATAAAAGGATCCACGCAGGGGAGAAGCCCTATCAATGCATGGAGTGTGGAAAGGGCTTTAGTCAGAATTGGAGTCTCATTTCTCATAAAAGGATCCACACAGGCGAGAAGCCATATCAGTGCATGGAGTGTGGAAAGACCTTTACTTGTAGCAGTACTCTTAATTCCCACAAGAGGATCCACACAGGAGAGAAGCCGTATCAATGCATGGAGTGTGGAAAAACCTTTCTAAGTAGCAGTAATCTTAATTCCCACAAGAAGTTCCACACAGGAGAGAAGCCATATCAATGCATGGAGTGTGGAAAGACCTTTCATTGTAGCAGTAATCTTAATTCCCACAAGAGCATCCACACAGGAGAGAAGCCATATCAATGTCTGGAGTGTGGAAAGGGTTTTAGGAAGAATTCTGATCTCATTTCCCATAAAAGGATCCACACGGGAGAGAAGCCATATCAATGTGTGGAATGTGGAAAGGGTTTTAGGTGGAATTCTGATCTCAGTTCCCATAAAAGAATCCACACGGGAGAGAAGCCATATCAATGTGTAGAATGTGGAAAGGGCTTTAGATGGAATTGTGACCTCACCTCTCATAAAAAGACCCACACAGGGGAAAAGCCATATAAATGCATGGAGTGTGGAAAGGCCTTTACTTGTAGCAGTAATCTTAATTCCCACAAGAGCATCCACACAGGAGAGAAGCCATATCAATGTGTGGAATGCGGAAAGGGCTTTAAGAAGAATTGTGATCTTTCTTCCCATAAAAGGACACATATGGGGAAAAAACCGTATGAATGCATGGTGTGTGGAAAGAGCTTTTTGAGAAATTATGCTCTTACTTGCCATAGAAAGATCCACCTATAGGCGAAGCCATATCAATACAGGAAATGTGGGAAGAGCTTCAGTAGAAATACAGGTAGTCCTCGGCATATGACTGGAATTAATCCCAAAATTTCTGTTGCTAAGCAAGAGAGTTGTTGAATGAGTTTTGCCCATTTTATGACTTTTCTTGCTACGTTTGTTAAATGAATCATTGCAGCTGGTAAGTTAATAACCCAGTTGTTAATTTAATCTGGCTTTCCCATTGGCTTTGCTTATTGTAAGGTTACAAAAGGTATTGACATGACCCAGGGACACTGCAGCCTTTTTAAATATGAGTCAGTTGCCAAGCACGTGAATTTTGAGCATGTGACCATGGGGGTATTGCAGCTGTCAAGTGTGCAAAACAGTCACAAGTTACTTTCTTTTGTACTGTTGTAACTTTGAATAGTCAGTAAATTGTAAGTCAAGGACTACCAGTAGTCATCTAAAATCTCATGCAAGGAGCATTTGGGCAATAATCCAAATAAATACTAGACCTTGTTAGATAGCATGTATAATTTGCCTTTCTAGTGCAAATCAGAACAAGGTGGATCCCAAATCCTGTTGTGGTTTTGTCTAAGTAGGAGGTTAGAACTGAAAAATGAGTATCAGTGGAGATTAGGCACATTAATTGCCCTTTCAGTCATTTGTCCAGCCTATTATTTAACAGGTGCAGATTTCCCAGTCATTTGAAGCAACTCCATTTGAACAACATACACCTGCTTTGTCTCAACAAGAGAAAACTTAGCATTCCTTCCAATAGAGCAGATGTGCAGGCAGAAATTCAATCCTCAGTCTGTTATTAGAGTTCAACCTTTTCTTGTTTTCCAAAGTGCATAGCTAAATGTCTATGGAGATTCTTAAGTCATCCAGGTTATAGTTATCCCAAAGATGCTTTTTCACGAGGCAACTGGATTTTCCTGTTTTTCTTTGAAGACCTTTCGCTTCTCATCAGCTCTGAAGAAGGTCCTTGGATGAGAAGTGAAAGGTCTTCAAAGAAAAACAAGGAAGTCCAGTTGCCTCGTGAAAAAGCATCTTTGGGATAATTTTTCTTGTTTTGTTTAATCTTCTTACAATCTGACATTGTAAGAGCCGAGGTGGCGCAGCAGTTAGAGTGCAGTACTGCAGGCCACTTTAGCTGACTGTGTTCAGCAGGTCAGCGGTTCAAATCTCACCGGCTCAAGGTTGACTCAGCCTTCCATCCTTCCGGGGTAGGTAAAATAAGGACCCAGATTGTTGGGGGCAATGTAAATATATATATATATATACATTGCTTACTGGTGTACACTGCTTAGAGAGTGCTTGCACTTAAAGTGGTATATAAGTCTCATAAATAAATAAATAAATAAATTCCACCCTTCTAAATGGGATGCAAACGACAAGCAGTAGCTATGGAAGAAATCTATAAAGAGAACGAGATTTCACTGATGCCGAGTTGGAAAAAAAAAAAATAACACAGAGGCTGTGTGTACTAAATGTGTGGTGATTTTCTCTTCTCTTCCCTTGTTCTTGCTCCAAATAAAACAGTAAAAGGAAAATGTAAATCTTGCCGGCATGAAAAAGAGTCAGGCATCAGTTGGGGAAAGGGACTTTGGAAAAGTGCAGGGCCTGTAATATAGTATAATCACTGTAGGAATAGTTGGGAGCTTTTGCTGCAATTCAGAAAGTGCTGCAATTCACTCAAAGGAGTTACTACTACAGGGTGATGAAAATAACTGAATTCAGGTCTACTGTGTGAGACGGTGACTAGAGATAACCAATAGGCATGAGAAAGTATTTTTCAGTCTAAAATATTATTTGTGTCACTGGGTCCTCACCATAAACCTGTACGCATACGTATACTATAGAACAGTGTTTCTCAACCTTGACAATTTTAAGGCATGTGGACTTCAACTCCCAGAATTCCACAGCCAGCAATGCTGGCTGTGGAATTCTGGGAGTTGAAGTCCACATGCCTTAAAATTGTCAAGGTTGAGAACCACTGCTATAGAAGAAGCTTCAGACGAAGAGTTCTGAAAAGAAACCACAACTGTGGGAAGTCCTATAAACACACATGCAAAAGTTTTTCTCCAGTGAAGGTGCCAAATTCTGTTTTCCTATGGAATGACAAGGTCCCAGACAAAAACTAAAATGGATTTTTTTGGGTACATTTATCTGTAGCCTTAATTTAAATGAATGAAATACGGTTGGTGTGATTTCTTTCCATTTATATAGTTATTGAACTTTGGGTTGAATATCAATTGCGAACATCAGATTTATTTTTGGAGGGGCTTACATGGTGGCTTTAAATCTCTTGCCAGTTTGAATCATTTACAGAAAAGACAGCCTAACAATATTCTGTCAGCCCTCCAAGGTAATCCAGATAGGAAACATGACCAGATAGGTTAATGTATTAATAGAATAGTGTAAGTCTGAAAGTACACATCTGCAGTCATCTTTAAATTTGCTTTCAACTGTGGGATGGGCAATATATAAATTTAATAATTAAGTAATAAATAACGGCCAAATACATTGGGACGCATTGTTTTTAAGTTTCTTTTTGGACTATTATGTAGCTGTTGTCGTCTCCTTTTATCGCATAGTTCTTTAGGCAGCATGTATTTCCCTTGTCCTTCAAGAGATTCCCACAAAACATGTTCCTGTAGTGTGGAAATAGCTTATTTACCATATATGCCGGCGTATAAGGCGACTTCTGCAAGTGTTAAAATCGGCACCGAAGTCGGGGGTCGTCTTATACGCCGGGTCGCCTTAAACGCCGGCATATACGGTAAACCTATTCCTAGTTGTGTCCAGAAGCCAGTAATGATTTATCTAGCCAAGCATTCAAGAACTTAAATGAGTCATAAATAGATTTTATACAATTACGTAATGTACAATATATATGGAACAGCGTTACATGAATAATGAAAATAGCCATGAAAGGACAATGCCTATTCAGTTCAAACTGTCAAAAGGCCTTCTGTATATCTAGAAATATTCCTGAATGTTTTTCAAAGATACCAAAATATCAAACAAAATTATCACATTGTTCTTCAACTATTGTTTAGGCAAAAACATAATTTTATTAGAGGTTATATGATACCTCTTGCTGTTGCCTCAAAATTTCTGTTCTGGATATTGGCCCAGGTATCTGGGCCTACCTCCCTTTTCTAGCTGTTCTACTGTCAGGGAGTTGCTCAGCCAATGTCCAAATGAAATCAGAGGTGCTGAAATGAACTTGAGACATGATAGCAGTGTTCCAGTATCTCAGGGGTTGCCACAAAGGAGAGGGAGTCAAGCTATTCTCCAAAGCGCCTGAAGACAGGACAAAGAAGCAACGGATGGAAACTAACCAAAGAGAGAAGCAACCTAGAACTAAGGATGAATTTCCTGACAGAACAATTAACCAGTGGAACAACCTGCCTCCAGAAGCTGTGAATGCTCCAACACTGGAAGTTTTTAACACGAGACTGGACAGCCATTTGTCTGAAATGGTATAGGGTTTCGTGCCTGAGCAGGGGGTTGGACCAAATGACCTCCAAGGTCCCTTCCAATTTTTTCATTTATTATTATACGTGAACCTCAGTCAACTGAACAGTCAACTGGGAAGTGAAATTTCATTTCAGGCTCCAGGAATATTAAAATCAGCTCCAATTTAAGATTAATATTTGGAGATTTCATAGAAAAGAAAAACCTAGGTAGGGTTCAGAGGCACTGATTGCGGCCATTGGCATTAGAAGACAGGCAGCACTAGAGTTAAGTGTCACTAACCTAGAGAGTCACCACACTCCATAGTTCTGGGTGACCTTCCCCAGTAGCCTTTGGAGACAAGATACCATATTGAAGGACAGCAGAAGTCATTGTCTGGGTGTTGAACTACCTTCCTCCAGCATCACTTTCTAGACATTTCCTGAGAGGAAGGACCACAACCACTAGGTCAGGGATAGGCAACCTTGGGTCTTTTATGACTCGTGGACTTCAACTCCCAGAATTCCTGAACCAGCATGGCTCAGCTTGGAAACCTCTCCCTTTCCCCTCAGCATGGCTGACTCAGGAATTCTGGGAGTTGAAGTCCACGAGTCATAAAAGAGCCAAGGTTGCCTACCTCTGGCCTAGGCCTAGGCCGCTTTATGACTCATGGACTTCAACTCCCAGAATTCCTGAGCCAGCATGGCTCAGCTTGGAAACCTCTCCCTTTCCCCTCAGCATGGCTGGCTGGCTCAGGAATTCTGGGAGTTGAAGTCCACGAGTCATAAAAGAGCCAAGGTTGCCTACCCCTGCACTAGGTAATGGTGCCCTCAGGGGTGTAAATGTGATTTTTCAATAAGATGCCTATCTCCAGCTATTCTTCCTCACATGGAGCCCAGGGAGAAGTTCAGAGGCCCCAGAGGACAAATTGCCTCTCACTGTAATAATCATCCTGGTCTTTGAGACCTCTTTTGCCACTTCTCCAGAGACTGCCTTTGATGTAAACAACAGACTGAAGCAACATGGAAGGGACATTATATCAGAAAAGGATAAATGCCTCAGGTTGTGCTCTGTGTGCCAAAAGTTTTGGGGCTGAGCTCTTTCACCTAACTTTCTGTACTTTCCAAATGAAGCTTGTTTTGTCTTTGTTTGAATCAGGAAAGCCACCAGCATTTCCAACTTGTGAGCGTGCTTTGAATTCTTCTAACTCTTCTTTACAAAGAGGAAGGGGGTTAATTCAGTCCCATGAATTATGGACCTCCTGTTTTTGTTTCTGAGGCTGCTAGTGTCCCAACCAGTCTTTGTGAAGCTTAGAAGGAAGTGCCTGCTGAATTTGGAGCATCAGTACGGAAAAAAAAAACTTGGAGCTATTATAGCCCAGGAGACCATCTCATTAGTGTAGTCACTTCTGCAACAAAAATGTCACATACAATGTTAAGTTTCAACATCACTCCTTTTAGTCAGTCTCACTTGTAAATCATTCAGCGTGATGGACTTGCATTCTCTCCATTTGCAGTTCTAACCCTCTCATTCTTTTCTTATTCCATTTATTTCTATGTTGCAGAATCTGCCTAATTTCCTCAATTGCTTTGATTTTCAGGGCTTACATTTTCTGTCTTCTTTTATGGAAGAAACTCATATCCATAGATGCACAGAGAAAAAAAAAACCCTGAAAGAAGTCCACGGTTCTTTCTTATTCTC